CTTTTCGCGTGTCCAACCTGTTTCAGGAAATCTAATTTGAAAAATCGACAGTGAAATTGGTACAAATGGAGCATGCCACTTGTTTCTGGTTTTACTCTTCGATTTTTCGAATTTAGTATCGCGGTCGCGAGTAGATCCCGAAACGAACGTTTGTGTATGTATTGCTCGAGCACGCACGTGCAAACGGATAACGATCACTATGATCGTTAGTCGTTCACGTATATTGAAGTCAGCTTTCGCGATTTATATTATATTTCATCTTTATAAGTTATTTTTTGGTTTGCGACTTTAGAAAGACTCGAGCTAGACGTAAGTTTCAGCGAGCATTGCGCTCGAAGAAAAGAAGAGGCTTGAAGCCGAAGAGGCCCGGCAAACTGCCACGAAGAGGGTCACAACAAATGGCTTCTCATTTTCTGAATCATTTAAATGACTCCAGAGTATGGGAGGCCATTCTTGTTACTACTTTGTCACTATGCTCTTTTAGTATTTGTAGTTGTATTTTCTTTTTTCTTCATCATCATTCATCTTCGTTTTGGGCAAATCGCGTTCTTTTTTGTTACATAGCGAGAAATTGATTATAGTTTAAATTAAAGTTGCAAAAAAATGATAATCGTTTAAAGTTGTCTTTAAAAGTTATACGTAATAAAATTTATCTTGCTTCCTATTGTTTTGAATTAAATTATAGAGTTATTGCTTTTAATTAATTTTAGAGTGTTAGAGTATTTAAAGTAGCTTTTCGTTCATACAGTTTTGTATTGTTAATAATAATTTTCATTGAATTTAACAGTAAAGTGTTGTGACATTATTTCATCGCGATTTCCAGTTTTAGTTTTACTCTTAGTGTTGCGATAATGAATGTTCGCGTTTCTTGATGTAGCGTTGCGTTTACAAAATGCCCAAATTTTTCTACTGAATTCGTGGAAGGCTGTTTCTGCTCCTGAATCACCTGATGCAGCTACAAGAGCTGTACAGAAATGGTTATTCATCAGCAATGTCCATGCTCAATAGATTAATAGCATTGCGTACTTATTTTCTGGAGTATTAAACATAATAAAGCACTCTTCGCGTTTGATGTTGAAAATTTCCTATTTTTCAATTGCGAGTGAATTAGTGTTACGAAACGAAAGATACGGTTTTTTACTCGGGTTCACGTCGAATGTAAATTTGACAATAGCTGTCAATAGGTTATTATATTAAGTAGGATATATTAGCTATAACTTTTTTTAGCTATAAATTTAATATGTTCACATGTATGAAAGTGTAACTGATTTCATGTGTCATATATAAAATAAAGGGAGGAAAGTATTGCAACAATTAGATATTTAAATATTGTAATAAAAATTTGAAGTATATTGATCAAGATATTGGACGTTTTCCAAACGTTCAGTAGAAGAAGTATTTATTTATAAATTCATGTTTTAAATTAGTAAATTTTTGTTCGAAAAAGGAGTGGCACTCGCAGTTCCCCTACGTAGTGAGACCTAGGCAATTATTTGACATATAATCATTAATTGCATTATTATATAGCTAAATAATTAATTATATAATTGATACAATCATAGATTATATGACAAGTAATACGAGCTAATTGGCTGCGATCTCGGTTAGGTTTGTGTAGATGTACATATCTATTATATTAATGAAAAATAAGTAGTATGTAGTTTTGACATATAGGTAACTAATTTGTGAACGTATGGAATTTGTATATTTTCCATATAAAAATATTTTAGAATGTCTAGGATTAATTATTTCCTCCACAATTCTTCTTAAATTTGTAAATAAGAGAGCTGTTATTTGAGCTGATTCTTTAATATTTTATTATGTAATAACTTTAGAATTTTTATTTACTGTATGAAGAAAAACCATCGAGCTCTTTCCATGTAGTAGAATGATTTCGGTTAGTTATTAGCTTCACATTTCAGTATTGAAAATTTGACGGCACTGTAATAGATTTCAAAGATCATATTTTTGGCTCATTCGCTACTTGATCAACCTTGATTATTTTACTTGACGTAGTCCCCCAACTCAACGTTATTTAAGCGTAGAATGCGCTAAAAAACCATTGATATTTTATTATGTCGATATTTCAGAACATGACATCTCATAAGAGTCATTGGCTTGGTCTATTCATGTATATCGTCTATGAGTTTATTAAAGAAAATGACACAAATTGATTAAATAAAATGATATCTGCTACAGTGTTGTCAATTGTATATCTCCAGATAGAAGAAATTAGTATTATAAAACTATTCTACTTTATATTACGTATGTGTTCGAAAAAATTCTATCCGTGTTTTGATATAAATACATATTTTAAATATATAGCCGTTTTTAAAAATAATTTTTAACTAAATTACGTACTAAAATATTTTAGCCATTGACGATTGGCTACCATGTATGTATATAAGTTTGAATAGCCATCGATTTAGGAAATTTGAAGGGCATTATGTGAAACTCCAAAGATATAAGATCTTAGCTTCAAGAATCCATTTGTCTCGAAGGTAGATCCTTTAATTTTACGAAATCTGTTACATCATTGACTAATCATCAATCAATGATAATATTTTTTCGAAATATAGCATCTTTTTTTAGAAAATGTCAAACTGCGTCGATTAATGAATGGAAAAACTGAACATAATAAAACGTATCATTTCATTTAAAAGAATGAAAGTGATCTTGAAATTCTCTACGTCTCTCCACATATAAAAAAAGTCAGTACGGTTTCTTCTGTATTGAATAACTTTTGTTGATAAAATGTTTTCATATCTTCAAAAATAACAGAGATATTTTGAGGGTGAAAAATTAAGATGGGACACTCTGTACATGATAAACACTATCGCTTGACATTTGTCGACATGATTTTTTCAATGACCCCTGGTACTTAAACCGATTCAAAATATAAAAGTGAAATGGCATTTTTCTTTTTTATAATTCGATTCTTTTTTATATTGTATTTTACAAAGAAAAATAATTTCATGAAACGCGTAATCATGAGTATTCTAACAAAAACTGAACGTGATAAAACAGACATCTTAATAACTGAGTAACACGAATCAGGAAATTAAAGGTACTCGAAGAGAATTACGATTTTATTTCAACGATAGCGGAATCCAAAGAAATAACAGCGTCTAATCTTGTTCGAAATAACATCGATCTTGTTCGTTCTCACTGAGAAATCAACGAGACACAGTAAACAAGTCAAATCATAGCGCATAATGTGACAATTCGTTTTAGTATATGTCATTGAAATATACAGGGTGGTCCACTTGTAGTATCGATTAAAGTAAATTAAATATCATACAATATTAATAAGTTTCTAATAGATTTAAAAATGATGGTAGCGAGAATCATCACTGAATCACCCTGTACACCTCGATCCTCAAATAATCACATGCAACATTTTCATCCCATCAAAGCATGTATATATTCTTTTTTTTTTTTACATTGAATATTTTCAAAATGCAAAATATTTGTCTTTAAAATATTCAATGATTTTAAATGTATTTTTGCATAAACCGGATAAACCAAGTAACGCGTATGAAAAAAAGGGTGGAACGACTACAAAGATCGAAAAAAATTAAAGAGGATATTGGCACACGACGTGTATACCGAACGATACTTTACATTTATTCGTTCATTATACAAGAAAAAAGTTTTTCTAGCTCTAACGTTTCCGCTGACTACGGATACAGACAATAATGTCGCTCGGATTACGGTACAATGTGCGTATACAATATACAATATATATATATGTATATACATACAAAAGCGCTCGCTCGATTTACAGACCGATGTCTTTCTCTCTCGCTCGCTCTCTCTTTCTCTCTCTCCCACTCGCTCTCTCTCGCGCTCTCTCCTTTTATGTCTCTGTGCCACTAAATCGGGACTGTCTTTTGGAGTTTTTCCTTTCGTCCTCACTCTTTTTTCTTTTTTTCTTTTTTTTATTTCTCTTTTGCTTTTCGTCTTTCTTTCATTCGATATATCGTCGAGAGTTAGTTCTTTTTTTTTCCCCCATTTTTACTTAAATAAAATTAAGCTAGCCATTACAATATCGGGACAGCTTGCTGTATTTTTTTTTTTTTTCTTTTATACTTCATTTCTCCTCGCAAGCTATCCCGGTGAGTTAGTAAGCGCACACACTGTCTTTTATGATAGGTCCGTTGTTACGTTATCTCCTTCCTACCTCTATCTATCTAAAATCTCTGTCCACTGATCTCTGTTTTGCCTCTTGCTTACGAGAATCCGGAGAGGTAACGAGAATTCTCTTTTCTCTCTGCCTTTTCGTAATTCCTCACTCCGTTTCATTCTCTCCTGCAATCAATTATTTTAATAGCTCGCGATTATTACAAAGCTTTAGTATAAAAGATGGTTTTTGTTCCCTTCTTGCGATGTCAGCTAGCTACGTCTACTAGCGCAAGCCGAGATGTTCCCGCGAGATGTTTCCTATCCTCTAGGAGAAGAAAACCACATTCTTCTTAACATTCAAGAAAACTTTTCCAAAAGAACGTGGTTATAAAAATAAAAGAATCTGTATAGATCACACATTTCGGACCTCCAAAATTCCCTTTAAAATAATTCAATGTCATTGAACGAGCCAAAGACAGAACCTTAAATGATATAAAAATTGAATTTAAATACTCAATTACTACCTTAACAGTAAAGATTCTTACAGTAACGCATTCTACTAAAAGAATAAGAGAGAGAGTGTAAATCGTACAGTTGTGCATGAAATGACACACAATTAAACAAACTTCATCTTTAGCCCAGATAATATAATGCTTCCAAATAATCAGAAGATCCGGAAGATCCTTACCATTCTCATCACCTCTCCCAGATATCCCGAGCACGCGATAAAAGCTTACGTATAGCCCCGCTAGAGGAGACGAACGTGACTCGTAGCAAAATAATGTACGACGTTAATCTCGTTATTTCACTCGCTCGATTGTACTTGTTGCAAGTCCTGCCACTTGGACGCGGTCTTGTTCGACGCGCGGGAACAAGGTACACGTACACGATATGACTTGAAAGAAGCTCTCTAACTCTGTTTCACACACGCATACATGTTACATCTTTCACTCTGGTCTCTGATATATACTCGCTCTCGCTCGCCGGACACGCGCTCGCGGTCTTTGGCATGATCGTTGGCTATATCCTCCTGGCAAGATCACGCTTATTGTTGGAGACCTCTGCCGCTGGACCTACGCCATTATTTAGTTTCCCGTATATATAATCAGCCACAAAAATAGACACGTCTCTATTGCAGTTTCCTACGTCAGCTCCTTGCCTGCGCGGCCCTCGAGGATGGACGCTGATCGATGACGTTCCTTAAATACATTCTTAACCCTTTTCGCAGCGTAACAAAACTTTAACTTCAACTTTCTTTTGTAGGAAATAGAAATGTTAATGACAATGAAATTGCTAAATATCAATTGACGACAATTTCTCGTTTTACACAAAAGAGTAACTTTTTTTAAATTAAGATCGCGTCTAAACGAGTTCGAATCTATCAAGCTACACTATTAAAGGGTTAGAAACCTTTCAGTCGCGATCTTATTTTTTTTCTTTTTTTTTTTTTCTTTTTATTCTTCTTTGCATCATGAGCGTTTGTGAAAGGACAAAGGTGGATGACTGTAGAAATTTCTGGAGATAGTTATTGAAAGTAAGGTAGAGTGGAAATTTTTAGTCACAGAACTAAATCTTGATCATCTACGGGCCTCTGAGAGTGATGTTATAGTTTTTTTTTCTACGTTTGGATAATCTGATTGAGAAATACACAGAGGATCGCTTGACACGGCTATAGAAAGGTGACTGAAGGCCATTCTAATTGAGGGAATGGAGAGTAATTCGCTTTGCGTTAAGAATATAGCGATACTCTTTAATACAGCTTGCATAATATACATTTGAAACTTTTGTTGTAACTTTCGATTGATAGAATGGAAGCATCTGTTTTGTAAAACTGATAAAACTTTTGTACGATGTTAGTTTCATAAAAAAAAAAAAAGAAAAAAAGAAAAAAAATGAAATGAAAACTATTTTCGTTAAACGCTCTTATAAAAAAAGCATGTATTGTTTGAGCTTGCATATTCTATCAATTGAAAATTAAATAAAGCGAACGAAGAGAAAATCCTCTTTGCTCGTTCGTGAAAAGTACTTGGTTTTTTGAGCGCGCTTTTCTTCAAAATCGGACATAAAAAGATTCCCAATCGCAGGGGGCAGGCGGGGAGAGGTCTCTGTCATAGAAAAGACTGTCGGTTTTCCTCGACCCTATCTGCATCATAAATCAAGAACACGAACGATAACGATCCATTCGGGCTTCCGCGGTTGACAGTTGCATCAATCTTCTCTCGTGCACGCACCGGTGGCAGTGACTGTTCGACCGACCCGTTTACAGAACCAGTCAGGATCGTTCCGTCGCCCCGTGCCAGGCTGATGCCTCGATTCTTTTACGCGATTCATCCATGCATCCTGAACGGGGGAATCTATACTTTTTCATATGGGACAACCATAAAACCATTTATCAATTTATATCGAACCACGCGTATTCCAATCGATGTTGCGTCTAAATCAGAGCTCTTTGACGTAACATTTTAAAATAACAAAAGACACAATTCCTTCGTTTCCTCTGCAATCTACAACGTAGATTCGCTTCGTGTCAATTCGCCGATATCAACGATCGATAAATTATCGCGTGAGAGGTAATCGGGAAGAGAATATTCTGCCTTGAGCAGCACCACATCTAGATCAATCGTTCCACGGAGAAAAACGGATGAACGCGTCAGGGATCGAGGACGGCGCGAAATGTTCCCCGGATGATTCGTCGGAACACCTGCGGACACACTCACGCAAACTTTCGATCCGTCTCAAGCCAGTTAACGTTGCAACGATCATACCCTCGCCATCGATCAATCTTCCTCGTTTATGATCTACGAACGTTATCGAGAACACGGGGATACTACACTGATGAACCTGCCATTCATTTTGAATCATTCTGGAAACGATCCCGACGGATTCGCGAATCCGCGATTCCTCCAGCGGGAAGAGCCTCGATTATCAGCGCAGACGAGGCGTGACGCCTCCAATCGCTCTCGGAGGGCCAACCGAGAGGTCTCCCATTTATGTTCGCGAGTCCAGCGATCTGTTCTCACAGGGATGGGTACATGTACGATGGTCGAGATCGCTCGCTGGCGGATGGAAGGCACGGGGTAAGGATATCAAAAAGGGGTGACGAAGAGTGGTGTGACAGCTCGTTTAGATGCTTGGTGGACCGGAACTATCGGTCCTCCTCGGTCCAATCGCTGGCTGCCCAGGCTGGAAGCGGGGTCTCGTATTCCCAGCCGGGGCCGCAGTAACGCCACGCGTGCAGGTACATGACCAAGTCGGATGGTTTCGGGTCTCTGTACTTCACTTTGCACTCGTAGCAGTGCGGATCAACCGTCATCTTGTCGTTCGTGAAACTAGAATCCGGCGGCTCCGAGCCAGTCTGCGTGCCAACTGTCACCTTCAGCGACTGTTCCTGTTGCTGTTGCTGTTCCTCCTCGCCCAGGCCAGGCGTCGAGGATGGAGACGAGCCGTCCTTATCGTTGCTCAACGATACGCGCTCCTCCATGTCTAATTTCGGCTTGAACAGACTCATTTCCGAGTCCCCGTCCATACCGAGCCAATTCTCCGCGTTGTGAATGCTAATCAGATCTCTAACCAGCTCCTGATCGGTCTTCCCGATGTTGCCGCCCTTCCCTTTCTCGGGGCCAAATACGACATGGTTGTAGAGAGGATCGTTTACTACCGGGTAGCCCAAATATTGAAGATGGACACGGATTTGATGCATTCGCCCTGTCTGAGGCTTGCACAGCACTACGGAGGACTTGCCGTTGTAACTGAGACGCTTAAAACGTGTCACGCAGTCCTTTCCCTTCTCGGAGACTTTGCACACTCCGATCTTGTACGACACCACCTCGATCGGTTCGGAACAGACCACTTCCTCCTCGGGGAACTCGCCCTCCACTCGGCAAACGTACTGTTTGTGAACCTGCAACGAGAATTCGGATCATTCCACGTTCAAATTCTTCTCACGGGGAATTTATTCTTTATGAGAGTGATAGAATAATCTTGCGAATAAAGATATCTTGTAAGAAAGATTATCTATCTCTATAAAAATAAATGAGGAATAATCTTGATTGTCATTAATAATTTATCACGAATACGCTGTTAACACCAGAACTACTCGAGTGGTCAGAAAGGCTCGTTTTTAATTTTTTACAGAGAAACTTAAGATCAAGATTAAAATATGAGATTTTTCTATATCTCTTGCTATTTAATTTTTCTGGAACAAGTTGTTAAACTGAGAGAATCCAATTGAGAACATCTACACGATCATGATCATTCGCGAATTTCTACAAAACGTAAAACGTATCTCTTTTCTTCTCTCATCCAATCGAGCTTCAACGTTTTTCCAATTAAGTCTCAGCTTCACACCTTTTTCCCCGGTCTTCGGCAGAATTTATTAATAATTAAGAATTTATTAAAAATCCCGAAACGAACCTGTCTGTTTCTTATTTGGTGCTCCATCTGCCTAGCCTTTTTCGGCGTTCTACCGAAAAGGAGAATACCGCTGGTCAGTCGGTCCAGCCTGTGGATTGTCCTCAGATTCTTCAGGTTGTACTCCTTCGCCAGAATGAATACAACCGTGTTGTGCCGGTATCGTCCGCACGGGTGCACCTGCAATTTCCAAGATCGGCTTGGTTTATTTGCTGGGGAAACAGAACGAGAAGCGGAAACGAGGACAAGGAAGATCGCGGATTGTGCAATCGGTTGCACGTTGCAGTTAAAAATACTTGGCAAGAGAAACGAGAAAAGCGAAATGGGATTATTGTATTATTGTATTTGCAGGCACTAGAAGTGTTCCTGGAAGTGATGCTCCACTTTGTATTGCACGTGTTCGACGATCTTAACTTGGAACAAATCATTCTTTCTTCAAGATTATACGTCACGATATTTTTAGTTGGAATCGATTCCAGATTTCCTGGCTGTTGTGTCATTTTGAAATCGAATAAACATAACGAACTAAGTCCACCGTGCTTTTTCAAAATTGAGCTTTACATTTGGTACAAAACCTTTTCTTATTCGTACGTGTATTATATGAATAATACGAATGAAACTAGAAATTCTAATATTTTACGAACGTATCATACGAATAAAGTCACAATTGAAGTGGCTGGCGGCATGTCTGACTTCCCGTGCATAATAATTCCTCATAAATCGAATGGCAGCCATCGTATTCACTTCTTTCTATTTCCAAGGCAGAGAATTTCAATACAAGACTCGCTGTCAATATACAGATGCAACAGCCAAGACAAGAATGACATCAAAAGCAAATCTCTACAGATGTACCTATTCAATTATCGATTGACCGTATTTTCAGCACTGAATTGATGCTGAAAAAAAAAAAAAACACATGCTCCGAACAAGATGAACGATTTTTACGAATACCATCGAATATTTGAATTAATATATTGGCAATTCCATTACTCAGCTAGACTGTGTACCGTGAACTATGTACATACGTGCATCTATCTGACCAATACCATTAAATTAAAAATGCTCTCCACTGACCACGTCGTTCACTAGGCAAACTAACAGGACGTACAGCGAACAAACATAAAGGACATTCGTGAAAAGCAGCGGTTTTCACAGTGTTACGATCGAAAGTCCAGGCTGAACCATTACGGTACCGACGATGGCCAGTGCAAACGATTCAACCGCGTGGCACCGTGTATATATACGCGAACGCACGTGCAAGCACACGTACTTCGTGCACGCGACGACCCATTTTTCCTAATTCAAGAAAAAAAAAAAAGAAAAAAACCGAGGGGCTCTATGACAAAAGAGAACGATTCGATGTGTCAGCCACAGTGTGGACACAGCGGCTAATCCGGAATTGTCACGCTAAAAAAATGCGATCAGATAGGACTTCTGTAATGAGTGGAACACTTCCAGTGGTTGGATTGCATTGGATTGGATTCGAGCTGACTTGTTAACATAAGCATTTTTTTTTTTTTTCTTTTTTAAGACTCTTCGCGCCGACTCGCGAAGCGTCAAGCATTAAAAATATAATTAACTGTGAATTTTTATTCGTTAAATGGGAAAGGGGTATCTCAAATGTTTAAGCATTTTTTAAATAAATTTCGAGAACATTGACAGGGCGATAAATTGATACACTGATTTTAATTATAACTTAGGTGTCTATAAGATTAAACGTGTTTTAGAGGGAGGAGTTGATTGAGAAGATTGGGTAGTTAATGGAATAATTAAGTTTCGTTAATTGGATTGGAGCGACCGAATTGACTCCGCTGCGTTCTTCGAGTCATTTCGGGACCAGTCGCATATGTCTTATCGTTGAAATATTACTACTTTGGAGATAAAATAGAAAAATAATTAATACGTGTAATTTCAATTTTTCGAGATTCAAATACCAAAAATTAAAAGAACACCGCCGCGTTAAAAGTTTGTACTGTTGAAAGAAAATAACAGAGAAGCAGTAGAAATACGTATAATTAAGTAGAATACGACAGTTCCTAATCAGACAACGCTCAAGTGTAACCTACTTTATAAATATGAATATCGAAAGTATAAAAGTAACTTAAAATTTATCAATGCAACAATAATATTTTCTGATTTCGTGCAATAATAATAATAATTTCTACAAAATTTCAACTTCTACTAAAGAATTTCCTGAATACGATTTTAGTCGGATTACAATGCAGCGATAAAACTTCCAGAATACATATATTATACATTATCAGACCTATAAAACAACATATAGTTCGAGTTACACTCATTGTCAACGTAGCTATCAGTCAACACTCGGATCCATTAACGCCAATGTGTCTAATCGCGCGGAAGCAATATAACGGCGAAGCACTCAGCACTCATTCAACGTTCATTCTCATCTTTAATTCGATGTTCGTGACGTTTCCTCCCGGTATTTTTGAAATATAAATAAAATTTTGATGTCGTAGTAAAAAATTGTTATAGAAAGGTTCGTTCACTCGGATGAAATGATCCTCGAATATTTATCTAAAATAATTCTTCGAATATATATTTTCTTCAGTCGAATATTTTTTATCTAGATAACAATTACTCATTATTCGTAATCACTTATTCTCTTTGTTTATTCGTATGATCTTTTCGAATAGTAATGCAAACGATTGTTATTTTTGTTTTAAATTTTATACGTGTAATGTTTTCATACAGATATATTCGATCACATAGTATGTGCACGCGTAACATTTAAAAAGAAATTGGTTGTAAAGGCCAATGAGAAGAATGAAAAGAATTGTCCAATAAAAGATGGAAAGTATGAACAATTATTTCACGCGTTAAACATCTTTCTTTATATATAATATAATAATAAAATTCTTATTCGAATAGATTTTTATCTATCTGAATGAACGTTATACGAATAAATATTTATTCGATTAAATATTCATTCAATGGTGTCGAGTAAAATTTTGCTCAACACTGTTTTTTACATAGTGCGTTGTACAGTAGAAGAAAGTGCACAACACACTTGCAGTATGTCCAATATATTGCACAAGATAAATATGCAAACTGTGACATTTAAATATCACTCTTAAAGATATCCGACGTAAAATCGATAGAAGAACAATCATCCATCTCATCTAAGAGAAGATCTACGATACAAAATTCCGTTCAAGATGTAAATTGCAATGTAACAAGTAACAGGTAACGTGTTAACAGAAAAAGAAACACTCGCAATAATTTCAAAGAACTTCAAAGAGCTCGGAATGTCGATAGGTCGATAGGCGAGGGACTGTTAGAAGCGTAAATAGCACATAAACAGGAAGTAGCAGCTCGTAAAGATGCGCTGACAGCCGGTCGACAACGAGAGTCACTCGATTTGCTCGATAATCCGACTCTTCATCCCCCTGCTCATCAACTAACCCCTGTCTTCTCTCTCTCTCTCTCTCTCTCTCTCTCTTTATCGCCCTTTCCTTTTCTCTTTGTCACCATCGTATTGTCTGACCTACTCACTGGCAGGGCCGGATGTGCTCCAGGCGGATATACATCGCCAACATCCCCGTCCTTACTCCTATTTTTCAGGTCAAACTATTTTTTATCACGTTAAGTGGTTTTCACAGTGAACTTAATTTTTTAAGGCGATTGTCGACGATGGAGAGCATCGGTTGCTCAATTCCCGCGTTTCGTCCGTTTCTCTTTCCTCCCCCTACGCGGTCAGAATACGAGAATCGATAGAAATTCTTCTGTTCACTTCGAGTAATAAGCCTACGACATTTTTGCAAATCAGTCTACGACATTTCTGCGAAATCGTTTCAACACACAGTTTCTTCTAATTTTCAATTTCATCGTTTGTTACCCTTGATCGTTTTGATCTTCGGTATACTTTAAGGGGATATTCTGGTAATCCGGCTTAAAAGAAGTCAATTTTTTTTACATTTTCTCAAAGTACATGCTTTCGAAAATGTCTATGTAAAAGGATTTGTTTGAATTCGTAAAATTAGCAAAGTTATAGATATTGAAAGGAAACGGTGTACTATTCGCGACGTAAGTGATGAATATTTTTGTACAACGGGTAACAAAAACTTCAAATGTGTTTTTCTCAAAAAATATTTTACTTTATAATATTATTATTTATATTATTATTTATTTTTATATTATTATTGTTTTATATTCTATTTTTTGTACTGCTCGATTGATTGTAAGTATGAATATCTTTGTACAACGGGTAACAAAAACTTCAAATGTGTTTTTCTCAAAAAATATTTTACTTTATAATATTATTATTTATTTTTATATTATTATTGTTTTATAATATTCTATTTTTTGTATTGCTTGATTGATTTTAAGTATGAATATCTTTGTACAACGGGTAACAGAAACTTCAAACGTGTTTTTCTCAAATCCATATTTTTTAAACTGGCTGATGGGATATCTCACGTTTTAGTTGACCGATTGACTTGAAATTTAGAGGAGATCTTCACCGGATGTATCTTTATCGCGTGAACCACGGATTTCAAAATCTGATGTTTTTTTTTATTTTTTTTTTTACCACCCAAGGACGAAAGGCACAAGAAAAATCGATATTTAAACTTCAAAATGCTGCCATTTTTTTAATTTTCGAAATTTCGCTGTTTCCGTGGTTCATGCGATAGCTATATTTATACTAGTTAAGATGCATTTTGGTTTTTTTCAAATAACCAGATGGACCGGAATCACGTCAGCCATTCGAACTCGTTTTTAAAAACGCTTGCTTTAGCTAAAGCTATACAATTTCCACAACTTTCATTAATTTCGTTAAAAAAAAAATTGTAAATACTCTTTAAGTGAATGAATAAATGTCTGTGTGCGAAAACTGTATACCAAAATGTATCATGATTTCCTTAGAAAAAAATCCCCAAAAAAGTCGATTTTTATAAGCCAGATTACCAGAATACCTCCTTAATTTTCATAAAACTTGAGAGAATCGCAATTAACGAGGTTACAATTTTTTTAACTCCACGCACACACGACTCTATGAATTCTCGATGAATGAAATCCGCAGCAACAGTCGTATATATCTCTAGTTTCACGATATTACATTCAATGTTTTTTTCCATCGATAAAAAACACGTATGTACATCGTCTTTAATTTACCGCCGATATTTCCTGTCGAAACTCGACGAATAATGGCCAGCTCTGTTTTTTTCTTCCCTTTCTTTTACTTTTTAACCGTTTCGCAATAACGTGTTCATTGAATTCCAAGTGTAGGTACGTCAATTGAACATTTAGAGGGGTATAAAGCAGACGCTGAAAAAAAAGAGAAACGCGAGGCGAGCTGAATTCGTAAACTGTGCACGTGTGTGTGTGTTCGGCGTGGCGCGTTGGCGGCGGCCGAACAATCTCGTAAAAATCTAACGCGCGGGACAAAAGCTTGGGAAAATAAAACTGATTCGAGTCCTGTTGTTCCTGGCTGTAATTAAATGATCATTCCGCGGCCGCGAAAATGTTTTCCTCCGGCAATTAACGAAACGCCCGCAATGGTGATTAAGGGCCGTTTAATGTTTCCCTCTGGCTTTGATCCACGTACGAGCTGGGGCCGCAAATTAAACGAGGGGAACAAAAGCGGGAACAACCGTCGAACCCGAAAGCCATCGCGACGAACTGGAAAACTTTGTTACAAGTTTCATTTTCGTAGAATTTTCTCACGAACGTACGAAACTAGTTACCGAATATGAGATCGTACATCTACGTATAGCTTTCTCTCTTTTTCCTCTTTCGCGAGTATTAGTGAGATAGTGTTTTTTCGTTTTGAGTGTTACATATATATATATATATATATTTTTTTTTTTGTTTGTTTGTATGTAGAAAGATATTGACTTCTTTGAATAATTTTTTATCGACTTCTTTCGTACTGTAAAGATTAATTAATATGGAACTTGCAATTTGATCGTTTAATAATTTAGTCTGAGTAGGGTTTAAATAGAGTTTTCAATATTTTAAACATTTAGCATTATTGAGTATAAATTAATAATTGGACTGTGGATTTTTGTGCGAACCTATATTTTTAAAAGCTTGAAAATAGAGAAATAGAAATTGTTCGAGATATTGTAAGAAGCACTATGCTTTGGATGTATCTTTTGTATATTTTTTGAATCCTGCGCATTTCTGTACTTTAAGATTTTTTAAAAATCCGTATTCTGTTATATTAATAATAAAAAAGATTCCAAGCTAGAGAAATTAACTAAATTCTAAACTAGACAAAGTATAGCGTTCAAGACGAATTCATAGGGAGAAAATTAGGAAAGACAAGATACAAAGACTCGTATACTCGATGAGAAATTGTTATTTTAAACTACTGTAAACATCGTGGAAAAAGACATCAATACAATAATAATCTAAATAGTTTCATTTTAAAGATGACAAAAATTTATCATTTTATTCGTCCGCACTTTGTCCTTTTATAATTTCCACAGTTTCCTCTGACAATTAGTTGTTTGACTTGATGTTTGTTAACAATGAAATTTTCACTCTTGCACTTTGCTTGGAAAAGTTTGAAAGTACTGACTTTATTTTCAAGCGTTGGAAAATTTTAATTATCAGCGAGGACGGTAACAAGATTCTGAAGAACTATATTCTTCTTGTTTTTGGCAGATGGGGAAATCTAGAATTGGAAACGAGATGTAAAAAAATGTCTTTCGTGCGAAAAGATTCCGAGAACTTTCAGAGAAGAGGATTTCAAATTTTTATTACAATGCAATTCTGAAAATGAAATTTACGATCGTACGTTCCACGATGAATTTTTAAAGTTAATAAAAGTTTACGACTTTGTTTGTTAACAATGAAACTTTAATTTTGAAACTCGAAACTCTCACGTTTAATGAACGTGTTCAACGTGTCAATAACCTTGACACAGCAAGATCGATTACAAGATTCCTTAGAGTTGTACAAAATTTATTATCCACTTATTATTTAAATACGTTAACCATGAAGTCCTCTTCCTTCGTCAGGCGTTGTATTGAAAATTATTACTGTCGTGTAATAAATTATTATCCCTCGTTTAGATGCGATCGAGGATGTACGATTAAAGATGTACGATTGCAAAATCGTTGGAATTCTACTGAGGCATGCGTGGCTGATCGTTAAAAGCATTATGACGGGATCAACGGCGAGATTAATCATTCAAACTCGCTGCGAAGATGTTATCGGCAAATCATCAAGGATTTCGCAAACTGCCGCGACGACGTAAAAATAATTCGAGAAGAAAACTAACAACGTTTTATTTCTATAAAAAATTCGAAGGTGGATTTTAGTATATCAAGGAAGCTCGTTAAATATCGTACGAATGTTCGTGTTTTTTTCAAAAGTCGTAAATTTTAATAATTACAGGTGTCGTAGGTTGTAAATTTAATTCTGACAAAAATCCGAGATCCTAATCGTAGAAAAATGAACATCTATATTGAAAAATTCGACAAAGTGGAATGGGCCAATTGCACTTTTGTCGTATTAATTTAAAAAAAAAAAAAAGATTAACTGACAGATTAAAAAAGAAAAGAGTTATCAACATTTTCAAAAGAATATTCTTCCAAGAGAAGAAACGAGAAATTGAAATCTGTTTTTAAATCGTGATAAAAGACGCGCGCGCCGAAGCACTTAAAAAGATTAATACGAACAACGCGTAACATTTACGGAAGATTGGTGGGAAGAGAAGAATCTAAAGTGGTAAATACGTGAAAGGATCGCAAATAGGAAGATCGGCGCGAGCAAGCGGGGAAAATGAAAAGCAGTCAACGGTGTAAAAATGCATTACAGAATTGCCGAGGCGATTATTCATAAACGCTTTGCCACGTCGAAGGTCGTCGAAGAGCAAAGCTAGCCGACACACTACTGGGGATAGGAAAAAATTAGTAAAGTACACCTGAGTGGCGTACGTGCAATTAATTACGGAGAGAATGAGATAGAAACTTACCATGACGCAATAAAAAAAAAAAAAAAAAAAAAAAAAAAAAAGAGAAAAAGAATACGAGAAAAAAAATGTAAGGAACATAGTATAACGTAAATAGTACGTGATGACTTGGACGACAATTGACCGCTTTCGTTAATTATTTTAAAAATCTTGTTTCAAGATTTTTTTTAGTTCTTCTTTGCTTTTTTTCTCTCCGAGAATCTGTTCGAGATTAAAATACCTTCAATTTGAGAATAACGAGTTCATCTTTTTTTTTTTTTATAATTTCTACTGCAACAGATAATTGACTGAGTAACGTTTATTACATCTTACGATTTTCGCAATGTCGTCCGATTATTTTGCATCTCAGGTGTAATTACTTCGTAATAATTCCTTTGGGAATTTAAAAAAAAAAAAAAAAAATGAAAAATATAAACGATGTTCATGGAAACGAAGTTTTTTACAACCTTCGGAACGAAAAATCTCGTTGTTGAAGTTTGCTGAAGTTGCCGGTTGATCGTGCCATAAAAATGTTTAGAGTGCAAGGGATTAATGGTCCGGAAGCTAGCAAGTTCAGTAAATTAACTCGGTAAACTGTGTACTTTCTACAGGAACTACCACAAGTGAATCAACGGAAGAACATGTGCGCGCCTCTGTTCGAAAGAGGAAAAAGAAAAAAAGAGCACATTTTTTTACAGTCGTTGATAAATTTCCAAATCAAGCGGCTCTAAATTACGCAACACGACTCGGCGAACTTCGGCGAAATCCAGCTAATCGAAGATCGAAGGTATTTCAACTAGCGTAGCGAATAATCCAGGCAACCGTGGCCGCGTGATCTCGAACAGCAAAACAAACGCGAGGTTCGGTCGGATTGATCGCGCGAGTTCGGAGGCTTCGGGCCAAAAATAATCGACCTGGGCCGCAGAAAAGCGAACGCCGCGCCCAAGCGGACAATCGTCGTCGTTGCGCGGACATATCGGCGAAAAACAGAAAGCGAAAAAACAGAGAGAAACTGCCACGCAACAGTGCGTGGTGGATACATCCGTCTGTTTCTTTCCATTTGATTCTTTCTTATTTTATCCTTTTATTATTATTATTATTATTATTATTATTTTTAATTTGGCAGTACAGTTCTGGCAGTACACCACTTACAGGGATGGAGGCGGGCTTGTTGACCACGACGACGTCCTCGTCCATGTGTATCACCGTGATCGGCTCCGAGGTGACAGGCACCTCGTGTCTGCAACACACCAATCGCAACCAGCTTAACGTGGCTTTGTTCCTCTTGCACGTACACACATTCACTCGCTCATTCATTCGTTCGTTCGTTTTTCTCTTTCTCACACGCACAGAATGGAACTTCGTTTATCCGCATTGGGTTTGCAACGATCGAGGTGTGGATCTGATGGTAGGAAATTGGAAGAATTTCGAATTCTCAGTTTTGAAGAATTTTGAAATTTTTCGAAGGCACGTCGATTGACTCTCAGATCAAATTGTTCAAGGTTAATTAATTACTTTGAACTAATTTCGTGATATACTTTGTAATACACGAAGCTGAAGTTCTTTTAAGATCACACCGTACGTTTGTGACAGAATTTTTTTAAAAATTTTCAGAGAAGGATCCCTCTGTATTTTTAGAGGGAAATCTCCTAAATAGAATACCGTATAAAGTTTCGTACAGAAAACTTTATGGGTATAGGTGATATACTTCTTGCGTAGGTACAGTGAGATACAAACTTTATAGATACGATATCCAGGCACAGCGTGAAAGGTTTTCTCTATTCAGGGAAAATTTCAAATTGCCGCAAGATATTTCTTTGGTGGTATGTATATATTCGGATAAACGAAGCTACAGTACATGTAGAAATGGCGATAGAGAAGTGCACGGTAACGATTTACGGGATGGGAGTCAGATCTCGAAACATGTGGGTGGAGGATGTTCGAACATGTCTGTTCTTTCCAGTCCATTAAGTGTTGAACGTGCATGATTCTCTTTCCAACTGTTAACCTGTAACACGTGCTCATGCGGCCTCGAGGATTCCCGAGTGACTTACATCTAAAATCCTACGCTTAAAAGTATGATTCAAAAGGAAAAAAGAAAAAGAAAAGAGAAAAAACGGTGAAAAATGTTCCCCTCGTGAAGTAGGTATCAGTAGTTTCAGATGTTCGATCTATATCACTCAAAGAGACACGACAAAAAATGTCCTTTATTAAATACTTTACCTTCCACGGTATCCACCATTTTTCTTCGCTCCAACATACTTTTTACAAACTTGGGATATTCAGAAACAGACGGCCAACGAGTCGATTCTTAACTTCCAATCGTTTCTCAATTACCCTTCTTACAATTTTTATTTGTTTCATTTTGATTTTCAATTGACATCGTTAGTAGGTCTGATTAATTGAAAATATTAATCAACGTTAAACAATCTTCAAATTGTTTATCCTTGTTTGAGTTTTGAGAAGTCTACAACCCCTGAAACACACTACGAACTCTACTCCAATAATTCCTGTCTTTCATCCTCTATTATACAAATGTGTAAGTCTTTGATCTTTCCAAGAATCATCTAACCCATGTTTACAACATCTGCAACACCTGGAATTTCAGAGTTTTTGAAAAACCGAAAGTTTTTCCTTCATCACCCAGAGAAGTTATTCAATACTTCGCTTCTCTCTCGAACGTCGTTTAACCAATTCGCTCCCTAAAAATCGAACGGCCTGTTGTTCGTCATTCGGACAAGTCCCTCGAGAAGCGGAAGCGCGCCTCGTAGACGAGACTCTTTACGCTCGCGTCGACCAGCTAAACAGGTTAATGGCGATGCGGGTGGAAAAGCGGCCAAAGTGGAAAAAGGGACAAAGCGGACGTCGACGACGCCTCGAAGAAACGAGGAGATTTCGCGACGACAGGTGGCTGGTTCTTCCTCGGCGAGGCGTATGCTCGCGGCACGCTGTTCCGCGGCTCCAATTACACGTTCCATCTGCCTAATGCATTCCGTGAAATCTGCAGCAGCAGCAGCAGCAGCAGCAGCCGTCGGGTGCGCCGGTATTCTTTCGCTCTCGCGGACAATACCGAACCGACGGATTCTCCGCAGAGAACACCGCGTCGCGAACCCCTCTTCGTCTTCTTCTTCTTCCGCCTCTCTCCGCCCGCTATTTTTTCCCAATGCTTGGCCACCCTTGCTTCGTCCCTCTCTTTGGTTCGTCCCTTTTTTCTTTTCTTTTTCGCAAACCCATCGTGGTTTCGCGTTTCTTTTTTTCTCCCGCGCGCGCGAGAGAGCTCTCAGGAAAACCCGCCCCTCCCTTTCCTCCCCCTCTTTGTCACCCTTTCGTATTCGCGTCTTGATTCCACTTTCGTTTCTTCCCTCTTTCCGAGCGTTTCCGCTCTTTGTCGACGGAGGGAAGTATTGTCAGAGGAGAGCGCCTTCTCTCTCCGAGGCTCTTTGAATAATTCAATTCGAGTCTGGGTAATTTCTAAAGGCGGTCTGGTCGACTCGAGTGCAAGATGATTCCGCTCTGTTTTCGAAGCGGCGCGGTGGCTGGATTTCTTTCCTTTTTTTTTTTTT